CAATAAATAGTTATAGATTTTTTCTAATTAGTTTTTCATCTGTCCCTGTTAGTATCTGATTCTTAAACTGACTTCATATTTTAGCTGAATTAGCATATTTCTGTCCTGCTCAGTATCCCCATAGTCTCTTTATTCTCTCTCTCTTTTTTAATTAAACATAAGAAATTCAATATCTACATAAACAGTGTGTTGTCTGGGTACAGTTAATTTTGAGAAATAATAATAATAATAATAATAATAATAATAATAATAATAATAATAATAATACATTGTAAGAAGGTATTTGATTGATACCTAGGATGCTAGCAGCAACCCATATCAACCATTAGCACCAATCAATGGTATTTGTGATGCATTTTTGAATGTTCAGTTGACTGAGTTTCATGTTTAATGAATAAAGTATATTATTATGATGACAATAATAATAATAACAATAATAGACATGACCAAGTTGCTAAATTAATCCACTGGTCATTATGTAAAAAATACAATTTATATCCAAAAAGTCATGGGAACATAAAGTGGAAAAAGTTATAGAAAATGAGAAGGTGAAGATCTTGTAGAACTTTTGAATACAGACAGATCGTCACTTGGAACACAACACGCCAGATATCACAGTTGTCGAAAACCGAAACGTACAATTTATTGACATCGCGGTACCAGGAGATGCCAGAGTTGAAGAAAAAGAACTGGAAAAAATCATGAAATATCGCAACCTGGCCATTGAAACTACACAGCTATGGATGAAACATGTAACAGCGATACCCATTGTCATTGGTACCAGGTCCAAGAATTTTATAAGATACATCAACAAATTGCAGCTTCCTGCAATAACACCAGCGGAACTGCAAAAAACTGCGCTACTCGGAACATTATACATCTTAAGAAGATACTTGGTTGATACCTAGGATGCTGGCAGCAACCCATATCAACCATTAGCACCAGTCAATGGTATTTGTGATGCATTTTTGAATGTTCAGTTGACTGAGTTTCATGTTTAATGAATAAAGTAAATAATAATAACAATAATATTCAAAGCATTAATAATGATCACATAATAATAATAGTATTTGCTTATACATTTTAATTAACCTTCCTTATCCAATTAGTCATTCTGTTATGCTTTTAATTTTCTAACTTCTGTTTCTGTTAGTTAGCCATTGATAAAACAAATCCCATGTTGAAAAATATTCAGGTTCTTCCTCTTAAAGTAAAACTTAATGGCCAGGTAACACTTAAAAAAGAGATGTAGAAATATTAAACCTGAAGAGTGATATGGAGAATTTATTTTTTACAACAGTAGGTGGTTTAAGGTGTAAAAAATACTTTGAAAAGATATAGTGACATTATAGGCAGGGGAATATATAATATAATCCTGAATTTTAAAAAATTGGGGGGGGAAGGTTATCAATTATTCAATTCACCTGATTCAGCCAAACTTAGCAGTCTTCTTTTCCAAAAGCCTGAGGACAGGGATGAAATGGTCCCGGATCGGACCAGATTGCCCGATCCAGTAGTGATTTTTCCCTGTGGTTCGGCAATCCGATAGCGATCGCTGCCCAGGTGTCATTACTTCCTGGTTTTAACCAGGAAGTAATGTTTTTTTTACCTTCTGCGCATTCACAGGTTTTGCGCATGTGCAGAAGGTGTGTGCGTGCATGTGACACACGCGTGTGCGAGCAAAGCTACCAAACCAGGAAGGAAGGTAAGTAGAAGGAAGGCACGCTGGAAACCAGAAGAGCAGCTGGCGATGGTGTGCATACCCACAGAGAGGGCTCTGTGTGCCACCTCTGGCACGTGTGCCATAGGTTTCCCATCATGGATATAGGATCTCCTGCTTAAGCAGGGGGTTGGATTATAAAACCTCCAAGGCAGTGGTGGGTTCCTCCTGGGTCGGCCCAGTTCAGCCGAGCCGGTAGCGGTGACGATATGATGTCACCGAACTGGTTCTTCCCCCCTGCCCCCCCCCACGCCCCCCACCCCCGCCCGCCCCCACCGCCCCTGCATTATTCTTACCTTTTATTTTGCCCCACCCCCAATCTATTGCTGCCTCCTGAGTCCCAGCTATCAGCTAGAGGGGAAAAAACTGTTTAAACTCTTACCGCGGGCTTCAAAGGGCCGCCCTACAACTGATCAGTGTTAAAAGAAAACAAATGAGTAGACCGGTGCCTCCAAAAACAAATGAGTAGATCGGTACAGCTCTGCAAGCAGTTAAAAGCCTGGTAGACCAGTATCTCTGCTAAATCCTAAAGAATTGTCACATGATCATCAAGCCACTCCCACAAAATAAGCCACGCCCACAGAACCGGTAGTATAAAAATTTATAACCCATCCCTGCTCCAAGGTCCCTTCCAGCTCCATTCTGATTGATTGATTGATTGATTGATTGATTGAATGAATGAATAGGTTAGCCAGACATAAGGGAATATTTAAGTGACCAGGACTGAGGCAGTTGTTGGGGATCACAGTTACCTTGCCATGTGTCCCATTGACATAAGCTATTCCTGGAAAGCCAGATGGTTTGCTGCAATATAACTTCTAAGTTGTCCTTTATGAACTTGATCTAGAGACTTCTGGAGATCATATTACAGAAGCAGAGGAAACTGCTGTGCCACTCATTGTCCCTAGGTCCTGTGGCCCAATCGCATAAGGGGCATCTTTTCACCAGGGCCACAATTCACTAGGCCCACTTCCAATCCAGAACTCCACAGCTACCAATGTGCTAATGGGAGGAGGAGTCTGTTTTCCTTCCTCAGTGAAATCTTCACATGGTCAAGAAGGAGATATAAAGTAAATCTTAAGTCAGCAATTGGTGACAGGTGATGCGGAGGAAGGTGTGGGACCCAATGAAGAGGAAGCTGGCCTAATATGAAGATGCTGTGGGGTGGGAAAGCAGGTCCAAGGCCTGGAGATAGGTTGGGGGAGGGAGGTGGCACTGAATAATGGAAAGAATAAATGTTTTCCGGACAGCCTGATAATGTGCAGAATCCCTTCCAATTTAGTTATGTTTAGTTCAGTTCTGGATGACCAAGCCTGGATGTAACTGTGGGTGTGGCTTGGTGGTCATGTGACTGGGTGGGCATGGCAGTCATGTGACTTGCGAGATGGTCACGATCCTAGTTCCCCCTATGAGGATTCCCCCATCCGGACCTTTTGCAATCCCCCAAAGGGTCAAAGGAAATCAGATTGCATACAGCTCTGAACCCTTAAGACAAACCAAATACAAGTGGTCCTCGCTTAATGGCCGGTTGCTTAGCAAGTGTTCTAATTTACATGGATAGTTTAATGAGAAGAAGGACTAGGGGTGATATGATAGCAGTGTTCCAATATCTCAGGGGCTGCAACAAGGAAGACGGAGTCAAGCTATTCTCCAAAGCACCCCAGGGTAGAACAATAAGCAATGGGTGGAAACTAATCAAGAAGCATCTTAGAACTAAGGAGAAATTTCCTGACAGTTAGAACAATTAATCAGTGGAACAATTTGCCTCCAGAAGTTGTAAATGCTTCAACACTGAAGACACAGGGGTGTGCTGCCAGGCCTGGATCCGGTGGGCTGCCCTTGCCCGGGAGGCTCCAAAATTAAACGAGGAAAGCAGCCTACTGCAGGAGGGAGATTCACTCTGAGCCTGCCTGTTTGGCCAAAGGGCTGCCTTGGGGGCAACAAGGCTTGGCCTCTTTTGGGCCCGGCTCTCGGCTGCTGCCTCTAATCTTCAGTTTACTTATGAGCACCATTGGCCTTTCTCCCTGCCTCTGCAGGTAGGATCTCCCACGTACTTCCCTCCCTCCCCACGTGCTGGTATCACCCCTCCACCACCTCTCCCTCCCCCACTTGCTTACCATCTGTGGTGGCTGGTCCAGAGTCCGGAAGGCAAGCTGGCTGGAGTTTTTAGCGCCCCCCCAGCCAGCCGCCACTGCTGGAAAGCGGCTGGCAAAAAAGCCTCCAAAAAGGCTTCTTTGCCAGCCGCTTTCTCCACAGGCTGCCGAAAAGTACTGGTGGAAAAAGCTGCTGCAGTCTTCGCCATGTTTTTCATGCATGCGCATCCCATTGGATTTGCAAGGCAATGAGATGCGCATGCGTGAAAAACATGGTGGCGACGAACATGGCAGCCGGGATGAGTGAGCAGTGACTGGGAGACCAGTTCGGGGGCGTGGCCAGCCAGCCATTACTACCAGTTCTATGACCAACTACAAATTTTTACTACTGGTTCTCCCAAACCGGTGCAAACTGGGAGAAACCCACCACTGGTTTCCACCCATTGCTTTTTGTCCTGCCTTCAGATGCTTTGGAGAATAGGTTTATTCTCTCTTCTTTTTGGCAGCCTCTCAAATATTGGAACATTGCTATCATGTCACCCCTAGTCCTTCTTTTCGTTAAACAAGACATACCCAATTCCTGCAACCATTCTTCATATATTTTAACCTCTAATAATCTTTGTTGCTCTTCTCTGCGCTCTTCCCAGAATCTCAACATCTTTTTTATATTGTGGCAACTAAAACTGGATGCAATATTCCAAGTATATTAGCATCCATTCTTGCTTCCCCTGTCTTTCTCTGTATTTAAAGTTCCATAAGAGTGAATCCACTCTACCAGTCTGATATCATGAACTGTTGTTTACAAAAGATAATCACCCAGTGAAGCTGATTAGTCTTGGAAATGACTCCACATCTATTATGTTGTCATAGACTATCCAACTTCTTCCCCATTTACTCACTGAAAATGTAATTCATGCATCTCTCTATGTTTTATAACCTAACCCAAGAATATAACCAAAAGTAATTCTACTTCTATCACTGTCTCTTCTATTGATTGGGTTATATTCCCCATACATTTTTGACTAGATGGCAATCAAGAGCACCCAAGGAGGTCTCGCTCCTATGAAGATATGAATTCTATCATATCAGAGAGGTAAAAATCTGTTTATTTCAAACCTTCATGACAATTAATTATTCTCATGAACAAATTTACAGATTATAAGAATTTTGGAAAGAAAAGAGCAGAATTTTTTTTTTTGCAAAGTATATTTATTCAACAATAAAGTTTTGTTATGATTGAGGACCTGAATAAGGACACAATAGAATTTAAACTTCATTCATTTAAACAATTAATATGGTTGCCCATTTCAAAGCAATGATCTTGGATGCTATACAAAGTGATAACAAGCAATAATTACTCCAACCATTTGAATAATACAGTCCAACTCAAAGATATCATTCTCAACTTACAGTTGAAAATAACAATCAGAACTAGCAGAACTTGCAGAATGTCATGGCCCAAGTACCTTGGGCAAAGCCAGGTCTTCAATGCTTTATGAAAGGTTTATAAAGCTTGGGGCCACCTGGATCTCTGAAAAGATGCTGTTCTAGAGCAAGGACCAGGCTGACATTAGTTGATAGGAGAAACATGGTAGGGTGAGCAGAAATAACTGGAGACAGGCAATCCAACAAATAGCTTGACTCTATGCCATGTAGGACTCTACAGCTGACAACGAGCACCTTGAATCACACCTGCATAGCTCACAGAGCAGTGATATCATACAGGTATTGTGTAGAAAGTCAAAAATTGCCTGTGTAGTTTCATGGTGGGCCATCGACAGCTTCCAAGTGTTCTTTAAAGCTGCCTAACGTACAAGTGTACAGTAATCCAAATAGGAGCTAACTAAGTCATGGGACATAATGAATAAGATTTCTTGGTCTGGGAATTACTCCAGTTGGTGAATCAGATAACCAGTGCAAAGACCGTGTTTACTATAGCAAGGTACAATAAAAGTAAGATAATGTCAGATCAGATCATCTCTAGAGAACTGCTAAATATCTACAGTAACTCAGCATTCATGGTTATAATTCTATTTTGAATCTTTGATTCAAAGATAAGTAACTCTGAATGTAACTCTGTGACTCTGGGATCTTTATCAGTTAAAACAAAGCCATTATAAATTTCTCAGACTGCCCCGGGAAGGTTGTGAAAAGATTAATAATCTTTGTCAAACTAGCCACACAGTAACACATGTTCAATATGGGAAAACAGAATAAATCTGTAAAATGGCAACTGTGAGTAGTTTATTTAATTTGTATGGTACATATTTAAATATGTTATATGTGTTTTTAATTTTTGGCCATTCTAATTCCTATAAGGAAATAAACCACTTCACAAAAACCTTTGCAATCAATAGCCTATTTGTTACCAGTTTGCCACTCAAATATTCTTGCATCCCTCAAATAGCGTCAATCCTGCAGGAGATGGAAAAAGCTCTTTAGGGGCCTCCAGCATCTTCATAAAGGAATCTTCTTTCTCTTTAAAAAATCCTTTACGGTCTCCTTGACCTTCTCATTCCTTAAGGTATAAATAAAAGGGTTCAGCAGTGGAGTGACCACTGCAGTTAAAACTGCCACTGCTTTCTGGATATCCTGAGAGCGTTCCTTGTTAGACAATGAGTACATAAAAATGGCACTGCCATAGAAGATGGAAGCCACCATGATGTGAGATGCACAAGTGGAATAGGCCTTCTGTTGACCTTTGGTAGCTTTCATACGAAAGATGGTGACAATGATGTAGAGGTAAGAGATAGCAGTGATTGACAAAGAGCTGAGGAGTACCACAGAGGATAGGATGGAGGCTAGACTCAAAAGGACGTGGACATCACTGCAAGAAAGGGTTATCATTGGACCATAGTCACAGAAAAAGTGGTCTATGATGTTTGAGTCACAGAATGATAATCGAAAGATCAAACAGAAGGAGACAATGGTAGAAAGGAACCCTCCAATCCAACAAAATAGGACCAAACAAGTGCAGAAACAACCATTCATGATGGTGGCATAGCGAAGTGGATGGCAGATGGCAACGTAGCGGTCAAAGGACATCACAGCAATGAGGATGAATTCAGTGGTTCCAAGGAAGAAATAAAAATAGCACTGAGCAGCACAGGCTAGGAAAGAGATGGCTTTGTTCCTGGACATAAGGTTCATCAACATTTTAGGGGTGATGGAGGAGATAAAAAGGATCTCCAAAAGAGAAAGGTTGCAAAGGAAGAAATACATCGGCGTATGGAAGCATTTATTGAAGCCTACCAGCAGGATGATGGTGAAATTGCCAGCAAGTGTTAACAGAAAAACCACCAAGAGCAGAGCAAAAACAAAGATTTCCAGAGACCTAGACAACTGGAAGCCAATTAAAATGAACTCTGTTACCTGCTCGATGTCTGTTCCATTGTGATTTCTTGATCTCATGTTTAAGTTGAGCTTAGAAAAAGAAACAAACACAGAGTGTTCATGTTGGAGCCTCCTTGGTTTTTCTCAGATAAGCCACTGCACTTCCCTCCTGAAAGCTTTGCTCGTTAAAGAGATGGAACCATTGCTTCCTTTCCTAATATTTCAGAAAGCCAAGCCGATTCCTTGGTTCCCCTTTGAAATCTAATGCAAAGGAGTGCTCTGAAGCAACTTATGGAGATTGAAACAAAAGGCACTGTCAGTGTTCCAAGTAATGGATTGGATACATCATATCAGAGAGCCAGCAAAAACCAACTCTAACAGTTCCTAATTAAAAGAGTAACAGTCCCCCCTTTCAGCTGTCACCGGTCACAATGTCCAATGAAGATGGACAGCAGGCTCCTCTCCTTCACCAGCCGTCTGTTTCAATGATCTTGGTTCCCACAGTTTTGTTTTGACTGTAGCCAGGCTATCTACTTCCCTCCTTCCTTCCCCCTCTCAGGCTTCATGGCAACTACGAGGCAGCACAAGATGGCTTCAGAGTTGACATTTACCATATAATCCTTCAACATATACTTGGGTGAAGTCAGAAGAGTTGATCAACTGCAAAGATCAATAATCATTCTAAATTCCTGACTGTGAGAACAATTAATCAGTGGAATGGCTTGCCTTCAGAAGTTGTGGGAGCTCTATAACTGGACATTTTAAAGAAGAGATTGAACAGCTGTTTGTCTGAAATGGTGTAGGGTTTCCTGCTTGAGCAGGGGTTGGACTAGAAGGCCTCTAGGGTCCTTCCCAACATTGTTATTCTGTTCTGTTAGATGGAGAAAGCAGTTAACTTCATGAGCACATAGAAGAAATGAGCACATATGAAATACTGTATAGGCATATCCCTCATTACTGATTTACAATGCCACCTAACTTTGGAATAGCAATTATAAATGCTGCATTTTTGTGATATAAAATCGTAGTGGTGACATAAGTGAAGAAATAATGAAAAGATCGCAAAGCACTAAAGAAAAGAAGTTAAAGAATGACCAACAGCTGATTGATTTTACTGTAGTTTAGAATCTGGGTGAACATAATCCGATGGATGTGTTGGAAATGTATTGTATCAATCCAGGAAATGGTTTGATTCAATAATAAAAGCAAGCCTTTTGATTGAATTCAGCCAGAAAGTGATAATCAGAGGTTGCAAAGAGAGCCAGTGAAATGTAGTGGGAAAAGCACTGAACCGGTACCAAGAGGGACAGGTTGTGATCCAGCCTCAAATACCTATTACTGTAGATGGCTTTTGATAGCCAGTTTCTCTCAGCCCACACAGCTAACACAGAATCACATTTTTAACTTACCTGTGGATTATCTCTTTAATCATCAAGTTCAGTAAAGACTGAAATATTAAGGAAATAGTTATAAGAACGAGTCTGGGGAGATTCATTGTTACTTATTCATTGTTATTATTATAAATTTTCAACTAGATGTATAATGTCAGGGGAATTTGATTCTCAAGCTGATATGGAAGAATTCATTTGGCTTGCCTTGCCTAGAGACCTTGAGTACCTTCATACAAACATTCAAAGAAAGAAGAAAAGACTGAATGGGTGATTATGTAGTAGAAGGGATGGTAGAACCTGGAAGTGGAGTGAAAAGGGGTATCAGCCTAGAAATCCTATGCAGCCACAAAAGAACTAAATCCAACCTCCCTTGAGTGCTTTGACCCTTATCTAACTCTAAGCAGGTGCCAACAGTTAGTAGAGAAGATTCCTGTGCATGGGCTTTTAGCAATAAATCAATGTAATTGAACTTGTTTGTGTGGACCTGATCTTTAACACCTGATACATTCATGGATTGGGAGGGGGTTAAAAATGTTCAGGAGGGAAGGGGGAAAGTAAGATGACAACTACTTGGTAGAAAGAAGAGCTGAAGTCTGGGGTTTTTTTCCTCTTCTTTTTCTTTTATTTGTTTATATTTTATAGCTTTTCTTTTTCTTATTTACCTTTTTAATTTTTATGCTTTTATTGTATTTAAACATAGATTAAACAGAAGAAAATTCAAAGGAAAGAAAGCCAAATGACCATTATTTTGGTCCTCTGTAGCTGGTCAAATAGAACAAAATGGTACCCACAAATAAAGTCACATACTATTAACCATAGACCTTAGTTTGTGTGTGCAGTAAGCCTCATATAGATCATCTATGCATCTATGAAGTTGTAACTCTAAGCCTGGAGAAACTAAGGAAAGAAGAAAATGCAATTGAACAGATCAGAGAAAAAAAATTAAGATGGGAAATGGTGTATGGACTGCATTCAGCCCTTTTTCAATGCAAAATGGGATTTATAAATCTCATTCTGATAATCAAGAAAGTCAGGTTTTTTAAAATATATATTTCAAATTCTGGGAGTTGAAGTTCACAATTGCCAAGATTGGAAACCCCTGACCAGGGGTGAAATCCAGCAGGTTCTGATAGGTTCTGGAGAACCAGTAGTGGAAATTTTGAGTAGTTTGGAGAACCGGCAAATACCACCTCTGGCTGGCCCCAGAGTGGGGTGGGAATGGGGATTTTGCAATATCCTTCCCCCAGGAGTGGGGAGGGAATGGGGATTTTGCAGTATCCTTCCCCTGGAGTGGGGTGGGAATGGGGATTTTGCAGTATCCTTCCCCTGGAGTGGGGGTGGGAATGGAGATTTTGCAGTATCCTTCCTCTGCCACACCCACCAAGCCACACCACGCCCACCAAGCCACGCCCACAGAACCGGTAGTAAAAAAATTTGGATTTTACCACTGCCCCTGACCTAAACGAAAGAGCTGAAACCCTTCTTAAGTTCAGAACAATGAGAAAACACTAGGAGATGGCATAAGACACTCCCTAATTAGTTTCCTGCTATGGTCTACCTGGTGGAGAGGACAATATTTTTAATCTTGCGATTCCTTCCTTCCATTGATAGCCTACATCGCATCTTTCTCTCGCCCCCAGTTTTGGCAACATTCTTTAGATGTATTTTTTTTCCTCATCCACAACCCCTTGTGATGCATTTGTAGAATATCCAGATCTGTCCTCACATTAATTCTACTTATTTTAACAAATGGCATTATTTCTTCACTGTGCTTTGAGATTACCAAGCTCTTATGACATCTGTTGTTGAAACCTAACCATCCCAATTTCAACAGATATAGGGAAGACTGTTAATGCTTCTTCCTCTTTAATCCTCCCTGCAACCCGTAAGAGTTTTGAATATTAATTTTGAAGGCATCTTGAGGGGCAGAAGCTATTTCTGAAGGAAGTAGTCCCTATCACTCAAGACAAGACTGGAGTTGGGTAAGTTGGAGATGCCTTTATCTTTGAAGTCCTCTGCAAGAACTTTATTCTCTGAGGAAACTCAAATTAAAATAGCTTTACAAATGTGGGACCGTCTTTCATTCCTTAATGTAGCAAAGTGATACAGTGGTAAAGATGCTGGACAAGTATCACATTGAGCAAAATTCAAGGGGCTCTGAGGCTCATTTGACCAGTTTGGTAATTGGTAATTATCTCTCATTCTATGGTCATATGGTCATCGTTAAAGAGAAAAATGGGAGAAGAAAATGCTATGCAGGCCATCTTGACACCAGAACAAGAATATAAGAAATGCATAAAAAGAAATAAAGTACAGCTAGAAAAAAAAAAAGCACCAAAAAAATTACAAAAAGCAAAATAGGGCATCATGATACCAATCCTAAGAAATGTAAAAAAAAGTCAGACAAATGCTCTGAGAAAGGAGCAAATGCTGAAATAATATTTACAGCAGCAAATTCAGATATAAAGATCTTCGTTATGCAAGAAATCACAATTTAAGTGTCCTACGAATTGATAAAAAATTGGTATAATTAGAGATATGTATCCTGGGCTGAATTATTTCTATCTAGAAATAAGCGATCCTAAATCTTTAATATTATATAATATTCCAATTGCCCATTGTGAGTAGGCATTTGTATGCATGCGTTGTTGATCCGACCCCCGAGGCCGACTTATCGGAGGAAGAAGGCTCCGAACATGAAGGAGAGGAATTGGCCAGGCCTCCTCTCTGGCAATGCCTCAGATGTCTCCCGTAGGAGAAGAGATTGACCAGGAGCCAGATATCTCCTCACAGTCGGACAGTGAAGGAGATAAGTCTTGGCTGCGTCGGAGAGACAAGTGCACGCAACAGAAAAGGAGGCGTGCCAGAGATTAAGCTGAGTCACTGGACCACACCCCACAGGGGATATAAGGGGGTGAGGTGGCCATTCAGACTCTGTGACGGACAAAACTAACTACTATCGAGTCACATTGCATGTTTGGAAACAACATTATCTGCCTTGGATTTAATTACGGACTGGACTTGACAATTCTTGAACTGTGTGTATCTTGTTTATGAGTAAAGTTCTTGGCAAGCAGCTACTGGGTTGCTGCCAATCCTCTTATCGAAAGAATTGGTTGTCTGCCAGTTTATTTAACCCCGGCTGTCTGTTTGTGTGTGTGTGTGAGACGGGGACAGAACAGCATGTACAATTTATACAATATACATTTACCTGCCATAAATAATTTACATTGTCATTGTTGACTGCCATTATGGTTATGTTGACTCAAGACAACCCTGTAGATATTTGTCTATGATTGTACTCCTCCTTCAATCAAGCTACTCCTAAGGATTGCTAAAAAGGCATCCATGGCTGTTGCTGTATTAACAATCCACTGCTTTACCAGTCCCATTGCTTGGGGTCTTCCTTCAAACTGACCAAGTATATCTTCCCTTAACTACCATTCCCTTGTCATGTTCTCTGTAAAATATTTTAAATCATTGTCTTCTCATCTGAGCTTCTAAGGAAATTTATTATTCATTGCTGGCTATTAACCTAAGCAAGTTGTTTCAGCATTCCTGTCTAAGGTTGAATTTTCCTCTTGAATTTTCAGTCATTTTGAAAGGCCGAATGTTCTTCCTCTAAGATTTTATTTCCTTGAATGCTCTGTAATAGCAGTTTTGTCTTACAGCAAATTGGAAACTTGCAGTTGCCT